AAGGCCTAGAGCATAACAACAAAAAAACAATTATATACTTATGAAGAATTATGATTCGTACTTTTAAAAATAAATAAATAAAAAATAGATACTTCACACTGAAACAAACTATTAAATAAATTAAAATTTAGGCTTCAATAGGCCTATTGCATTATCACTTACTCCCGCCACTCAAAAAATCACCACCGTTTGGTAGCTGGTTTCTAACATCTCCATTTGGTTGCCTTGGTTCTCTATGCTTACTTTCCTTATCATCTTTTTTGCTACGCTTTTGCCTCATTGGCAGATGGATTCCAACATACATATCCCTGTGGTTGCCTATTAAGGAAAAAGAAAGCAAGCATTATTAGTAGGCCTAGTATTACAATCTCAACGATTTCATCATTCACTTTAGTTTAAGCATAATATAGTAACAACAATGGAGTCGGTATTCTGTTTTAAATAGGCCTAATTAGTTGCAATTACGTCACATGTCCCGCTCCCATTATTTCCAGCAATAGAAGGGAAAGCTCGTGATAAGGCTTTAGACCTTGCGAGGTTATCAACAATGTGTTTTATTGATAACAAGTAATGTACTCTGCGTTATAACGCATGCTAAAAGCAAATAATATGCAATATACTTAGTAGGTCAATTGTTGATTATCTTTTTATTGTAAAGACCAGAAATCGAAATTAAGAAGAGTTGTAGTTCGAACAAAAATCGGTTTTTGTTGAGACGGAGAATATTTTTTCTATTTTCTGCTCGTACCAACGTTTCAGTACTTTCTGTTAAACTATAGTCTACAGTCTGCTGCCTTAACTTTCATTGAAGGATGGGATCCCATTCGTTAAAAATGTTTTCCCTGTTATCTGTTTTAATATCATAAATGTTTTACTGAGCTTGACCAGGGGTTCAGAGGGAAGGTTTAATCCAATATTTAGGACTAGTAAAATATAGTTTTAGATTTTTAGATCAAGAGGCCACCTGGCCCCCGATCAGGGTCCTGAAGTACGGTACCCCTGGCCCTGGTGTGGTCAAGATAAAAGATTTAATGGTTATCATAAAAAAAAAACACGCAATGTTATTAGGAATTACAATAACTTTGTTGTGATCGGCCGCTAGTACGATGAGCCCAAGTTACTGTAGGTTTGGTTGGTAAAGCCGACCTCCTATGGACTCCAAATGGGTCGGATGAATAAAAGGTCCAGCGACGCAGTTTAAGACGCGCAGCGTCAGTCATGAGCATGCATGCCACTCAACCTCGGACCTCACGTACATTGACCTGATAGGCAGGAAACTGAATCACACGGGCATCGATAGACTTGCTGCAAGTTATGTTTTAATTTACAGTACATTTTAAACTTAGATAAGCACTTTATTATTATTTTTTTATTTACCCTAAAGTTGTTGTTTTTTTTTTTTTTACTTTGTTAAATATTTTCTTTTGTTGCGAACTTTGTTATGATTTGCACTTTAAATTTCACTTCATGTAATTAATTTTGGGTAATCTACAGTTTGGGGGGGGGGGGAGAGTGTGGGAGGAGCCGATGTTTCAATTTGTTTTACATTTCATCATGTATCTTTTATTTTAGTCTATTTATTTTGCTGTAAAGAATCTTGTAACCGATAAAATGTATACCTTTCTCAAACTGTGTCATTACTACTCTGTTCGATAATTACATTGCTTACCGCATATTTGAATTTGATTCTTTTTTTTTTTACTTCGTTAAGCTTATTGTTTAATTTTACATTTATATTACTTTGTTAATTAAGTTAATTAAGTTGTTTTTTTTTAAATCTCTTTATCTTTAATTTTCTTGTAAGATCGTTTTATATTTTGTTCATTTTATGTATATTGTATGGACGCACCACCTTGCTAGGTGTGTGCCACTGATCTAAAAGTGAGTTCCAATAAATACTGAAATACCCTTATTATTTTTTCTCATTTTGGACAGAGCCACAAACGAGCAAGTTAATTTAGAGTCTAATCCGATAAAAAGATATCGAGTACGGGACGCCGATTAAATTTGCTATGGCGCGCACAGAGTGCAGTAAATATCGAGTGGCCAAAAATTAGGGCCTGGAACCCAGGCTAGAGCATCGGCTTTGCGGGAAAAAAAACACACACACACACACATTTGGTAGTGAAACGAAAATGACACCTCAAATAAAGGAGGCGAGAAAATTAGGATGTTAGAGTAACGAAAGATGGTCTACTAGACAAAAGGGGTTATTTAGCCCCCACGTACCAAACCCTCTACCAACCCCACCCCGGTGCCGCCACCACTCCATCCAGGACAAACCTTTAATTTGATGACGTAATTTAGACTACTTACTGATGGCATTTTGAAACTCGCGGTTATCTCGTCCCAGTGATGAGGATCTGGTGTCAACGATCACTTCATCGTGGTCATCCCCCATAGTAGGTATTGATGACATCATTTCAATTGCCTGTGGAATACAGAATTTTCAAATAGAGATGGAATAAAAAAGGAACCACACAAAATACCAAAAAGCAGAACTTCAATTTAAAAAAAAAGAATACTATAGTACATACTACATATTTTTTATGGTATTATTATTATTGAGACACCCAAGGGACGCTCCTAAAAAGGGAACATGTTTTCGGTCGCAAAGAAAAAACTATTTTTACAGTACAACCAAAATATATTCAGGGGACAGTCTTTCTGTTTCCTGATATTCCATTAATAGAGGAACTACTGTATTACAATAAATCTCAGTGTCAGCACTGCTTATTTGGAACAGATCAATACGTTTTCCAATTGCAGTAAAAGATACAAAATGAGAAACTAATATAATTCATATCAATAATATAATAATATAATTAATATTTAAACTATATATTCTAATTTATTTTTAAATATAGTTTAAATAATATAATTCATATTTAATTTTGTAAAATTAAAATGCACAATAATAAATGATATGGAACGGTATTAACATAATACAAGTCACTTAATATTTAATCACTCTACATGTGATCACCCAGAGATTTGTTTAACCATTAGCTTTAATTGTCCACTTCCCTTTAGTCACACAGTCAGTAGGTCAACACCTCAACGACTTTATTTAATCCATCTGAGTCATATCCTATAACACAGTAACTATAAGTAGGCCTACCGGGTGTAGTAGTCTTATTTGGGTGTATGTTACAAGATTACAGCACCGAGGTATCTGTTTACAGGCACGTATCCAGGGGTGCGTGGAGCGTACGCACCCTCCACTCCCCCCCCCCCCCCCCCCCCCCCCCCACCCCCCAAA